CTGGCTGCTGGCTGCTGGCTGCTGGCTGCTGGGCTGCTCGTCCGGCCGCTTCTTCGTCTTCTTCTTCGTCTTCTTCTTCGGCAACCCACGTCGAGCCTCCGCCTCGGGCGACCCTGTCCGGCTTTGACGACGCCGGCTGCTTCTTCGTCTCCCGCTCGCGACTGGGACGGCCTGCCTGGACGAGTGTCTGTCCCTGCTGAACCGATCACCAACTGGTGGGGAGGGGGGGGGGGGGGGGTCCTTTCGCCGGCGCTCGCAACCAAGGCTGGACTCGAACAGGTTGAACAAGACGGCGCTTAAGTAGTCAAGTGGTCGTCGTGGGTGCCGCTGGATATCCCGTCCCCTCTCTCAGGTCTTTCTGCCGGGCAACCAAGGACAGCGAGGCAGCAGGGCGAGATTGAGGGAGTCGAGGGAGTCGAGGAGTCGAGGAAGGTCGAGGAAGGCCGTCTGGCTGTTCTTTGTGAGGAAGCGAAGTGCGAAGGCGAGGGCAGCAGGAGAGAAGCGCCCGAGCAGCTCAAGCACGAACAAGCACAAGACTAGACCAGGACTTGTCTTCTTTCAACTTCTCTTCTTCTTCTTCTTCTTCTTCTTCTTCTTCTTCTTCTTCTTCTTCTTCTTTTCAACTTCTCTTCTTCTCGTCTATCAACTTTTTGCCTTCTTCCTCGCCAAGACCAGAAAAGGAAAAAAAAGCTCAACCGAACCCGTCGAAGGCTTCTGGAAGGGCCGAGGATGTTTTGGTTTTACCGAAGATACACGCAGAGACAGGGGTTTATTACGGTCTCTTACGACAGCGTTACGTGCACCGACCAAGACTATATAAAGAGTCGCTTTGAAGACGTCGAAAAAGGAGGACGAGAAGGACAAAAGAGAAGAAGAAGACGAAAGACGAAAGAGAAGAAGAGAGGAAGTCTGGCGAGCATGAGATGTCGCTGCCAACATGGACGTTTCCCTGTCGCGGCCTCGTATTCCCCCTTCCCTGGGACCCCGTTCTCGCATCTCGGCCAGTCAATGAGATCTTGCGTGGCCTTCTGGAAGGGCAGAAGAAGACCAGGGAAGCGACCAGGAAGCGACCAGGAAGAAGGCGATGGACAAACTCAGGACGAGGATGGCCAGCGCTTGCACTGCACCAACACGGCTCGACCAACCTGACTAACGACTGACTCACGGCCGCCAGCAGACTGACTAGAGCAGACGGCGAACCCGAGTTGATCACCGCGGAAGGCGTCCTTAGCCAGCCCACAGCCGATTGATCCAGCCTGCTTGCTCGTCTTTGGCTTCGCCTCCTTTTTGTCTCGTCTCGTTGTGTGTGTGTGTGTGTGTGTGTGTGTGTCTGCCAACGGCGTCGTATTTCTATAACCTGCCCGCGCTATAGGAGAACATGCATCCTCGACTCCATCCACACGAGCCGCCTCGAGTCGATCGCCAGTTTCTCCAGCCGAGGGCCCGCCCTTTTATCTCTCTCTCTGGCTCTCTTCCTGATTGATATTACACTAAGCACTTAAGTACTCTTCCTGCTGAGTGCTCTCCGCTGTCGGCCTGCGCTCTGACTGCAGCTGAGGGATGCGCAGATGAAACATGAAACAGGACAAGGACGGCATGGCATGAAGTAGTCGCAGTCGCCCTCGCTGACAGAGCTGTTAGTGAGCAGGCTCAGTTCAGTTGGGCTCCAACTAGCTCAGGAACCGCCCGCCACAGCTCTTGTGCTCGATGATGGGCTGGACTCGATCGGCAGGGCGTTACTTTTCTTCTTTTCTCCCTTTTTTCCCTCCCCCCTCTCTCTCTCTCTGCCATCTGTATAGACGCTCTCTTTGATGGACTGTTCAACTTCTTCAGCGTCCTCCGTACTCCGTTACTCCTGAATTACGATTTTGCGGGGTTAAGGTTGGTATATATAGACATGGGACATGGGGAGTATTAATAGATGCCTACATGGATAAGATGTCAAGAAAGTCTCCCTCTCTTCTTATCTCTCCTTCTTTTTCTCTCTTCTTGACACATAGTTTACAAGTATGGATACTTACCCCCGGAGCAAAGGATGAGTTTAAATGGCCGGTTGGGACGGTCTAGCGGGTATACTTTCTTCCTACAGAGCATGGTTCAGGTCGTTTACAGTGGCCGAACAAGGTACCTGCAAATCTATATATCTGGCTCCCAGTCAGCACGTCACTTCTTTTTGACAGGCAGAAAAGACAGGAGATCCGATAGAGTAAAGTAAGGCGTCATGAAAAAATTAGAGTGTTGTTGCGTTTGTGATCTTCAACGAGAACCCAGATGGGCCCAATTCTCAGGGTTAAAAATGAATAATCCTTCGCCGGGACAGTAGGGAAGATGTAGCAAGAGAGCAAAGAATAAAAAGAGAAAGATGGATAGGCTTACCGTTTGATTGAAGGGGCTGCGGGAGCGGGGACGCTAGTTAGGGTTCGGCAGCTTAAAAGGAATTGGCCAAGTAGCAAGATGGGTTAAAAAGAAAATAGAAGAAAAAGAGGTTAAAAGGGATGCTTGAGCGGATAGTTAGTGCTGGGAGAAGCGAGAAGCTTGCGCTTTGGTGCATTCAGGCTAGTGGTTGATAGATAGATTATCTACACAGCAGTTTAACCGAACAAGTCACCGAATCCTGTTTGTTGTGTTAGTCTGGTTAGCATACCCCTTTTAACCATAGAAACAAAAGGGGAAATAGATTGAATACTCACCACCCTCGTCACTTTCTTCTTCTTCCTCTTCGACCTTGGCCTCCTCCTTAGGTTTGTCTTCCTTGGCCTCGGTCACAGCAGGACCAGTGCTGACATAGGCGTCAGGGTTGGCAATACGGTCCTTGAGCTCCTCAATAGACTCCCAGCTGTACTCCGTCTCAATACCAATGGCAACACACTTCTTATAAGCGTTGATGAGAGAGTGGATGACACTGGGCATGGTGGGGAAGTTGGCAGCCAAGGAGACACAGGCAATGTTATTGACTGCACTCTGGAATACACTAAGTAGATGATCCTCCTCAATGTCCAGCACGCTCGAGTCAAACGTCTGCCCAGCATCGTAGATCTGAGCGACAGTCATACCGTATGTGAAGGGAGAGATATTCAGCATGTTCAGAAGTGTTGCCTCGGATGGGCCGACCTTGGTCTTAGCCTCGACGAGACGCAGTCCGGTCGTGATTTCAATAGTTCCACGGGCAATCTTGGTGGGGACACGAGAGCCTGGAGAAAGAAGTCTTGCCGGCTCATGCCTGTGTGCCGGGGCATAGCACCAGCACGAGCAGGAGCAGCAACTCGGTTGGAAATGATCTTTCACGGATCTCCTTCAAGTCGCCGTTCGTGAAGATGAAGCCGACGTTGCCTACACCCTGTTAGTCAACTCTTTCTTATATATCTAACATATATATCCATCAATTGGTCTTACCCTTGACAAACGGCAACAGGCGTTCATACTCTGGGTTTTCACTAATGAAGCCCTTCAAAGCTCGACGGACCTGCTCCAGTTAGCACTCCCGCCTCGTCAATTCCCCCTCAGCCGCGGCAGCCTTACCATGGTGTTCTTTCCCATCAACACGACGCCCTGTCCCCGCAGAGCGAGACGGATCTCGTGCATCTGCTGCGAGCTGACATTGTCGACGTTGACGATGAAAATTGATTGGTACTCGTCGAGAAGGCTCTTGAGCTTATCGAAGTAAGCAGCCTTGGCTTCGGATTTGCCCCCCATGTCTTCTTATGATATCTGAAGAGAGGATATTTAAGGGCAAATTGGGTTGTTGTCGATGTTGTTGTTGGTTGTGGTTGGGAAGTTTTTTGCGGTGTTTCTTCTATTTCGCTTTTTGACCTTTTTCGCTTTTTGTGATTTTTCTTCTTCTTGTGGCTCGCTAGTGGGTCACGTGGTATGCATAACCTTAAAATCTAGAAGTAAAAAAGACGACGAAAGAGGCCAAATTAAACAGGCATCAACTTATATACAAACAAGTATGTGCTGCTGGTCCATTGAAGATATAGCTAGGTATCTGTCTGCTAACTATCTGTTTTTAGACACTTTTCGCTGGTGCTGACCTGTTTGTATCACCAGGTAAGCGCCGCCGGAATGGCCCTTCGCCAGCCAATACAGCGGATAGCTCAGCTGCAGCGGGCTCAGCGCGACATCTTCGTCGCCGCGGCCGGACCGAATCTATATACATTCGATGCCCATGATGGTGCCCAATTAGACGTTTGGCCTGCTCCAACCGCTGATCAACACTCCCTGCCTGGAGAAAACCAGCCATTGACGAAGAACGAGTCCACCCCAGACCGGGCGGGGACGCCGCCGCCGGAGAAGAAACGCAAGCTCTCACCTGCCTCAAGCGCAACCAAGGATGATACCAACGCTCAAAAGGCCTCTACTACATGGACTACCATACCGCTGCTCCTATGTACGCCATCAGGTGAACATGTCATCGCAGTTACTGCTGAAGACAAGTGTCTACGGGTGTTTGCAATAGGCCTTGACGGAACATTGAAACAGCAAAGCGAACGGTCAGTCAGCGTTTTCTCTACATTTTCGCATACAAGATAAATCTAACTTCTACCGCAGAGGCATGCCCAAACGACCCTGCGCACTTGCGCTGGCGCAGAACGACTCCGTGATTCTCTGCGGTGACAAGTTCGGAGATGTCTACTCTCTTCCCCTCCTCCTTGATGAAAACGCAAAACCACCCGCCGCCGCAACAACCCCTACCCCAGCAGAAGAACCCAAAGCATTCAAGCCCTCCGCCAACCCCCTCACAGTCCACACGAAGAAAAACCTCTACTCTCTACAACAACAACTGCGCTCGCAAGTCGTCAAGCGTGAGAAAGTCGGTCCTTCATTCGAACTCAAGCTACTGCTTGGTCATGTGTCCATGTTGACTGACCTGGCATCCGTATCGCTTCCAGCAGAATCACGGAGCTATATTCTATCCGCGGACCGCGATGAGCACATTCGTGTCTCCAGAGGACTGCCGCAAGCGCATATAATTCACGGCTATTGCCAGGGCCACACATCCTTCATTAGCAAACTGTGCATCCCCTGTTGGTCTCCGGAATTTCTGATTTCTGGCGGAGGAGATTCTTATATCATTGTCTGGAACTGGCGAGAGGGCAGCGTACTGCAGAGAATACCTTTACAGCTGACAAGCCAGAACAGCCCAGCGACTATTGCGGTAACCGGTATTCGGGCAGTATCCTTCAAGGGTGATCCAGATTTATACCAGCTTGCTAAGGGAGCCATTTTTGTTTCCATTGAAGGGTGAGTTTAGACACTCTTATCTATACAAACGATCGTCCTTGAACTAACATATATCCAGATCGCAAGAAATAATTTCATTCAGCGTCAAATCTGATAACATTCTAGAGCCACTTCCAGCGATTAATGCATCAGGAAATGTTCTCGATATTACTAACCTAAATGATAAGGGTACTATCATAGTATCGTCAGATCATGTCCATGAACCAGGATCAACCACCCAGCAAAGATCCAGAAGTGCATCACCAGGCACGTCTTTACAGCAGTTTACGGCCACTGTAGATTCTGGAAGCCTTAGGTTGGAGGAGTCTCACCCTCCCGCTTTAAGAAAAATAAACGCCTGTTCATCTTTCAGCTTTGATCTTCCCGGAGATGAAAAAGAGAGACAGAAGCAGTTGAAGCACCTGGGGGAGTCACTGTATTATACGGGAAACCTCCGCAAAAGCGTGCGGGGTGAGGAAGAAGAAAGATAGCCATAGATATATAGCATAGCTGATAGATTCGATCAATAGCATTTGATACCCTTTTTACAGCTGAAGTCATTTTGCAGGCGGGTTGGTCTCGGTAATGCGTAGGAAATGTTCCGTCATTTCCGGACAACTTTGTAGCTTAACTCGATATTGACTTTGGGGATATTTTACAGCTTCCACCCCTCAACATCACCAACTCTATCACATTATTCACCCCATCAACCAGCCATGGCTAATCAATTCGCACCTTTGAAGAACGATCTCCTACTCCGGGCAGCTCGAGGTAAGCCATTAAATACACCACTACCCCGCCATTGACCCCATAGAACAACTGCTTACCCCTCTGTAGGCCAAACCGTCGAGCGGCCGCCAATATGGATTATGAGACAGGGTGCGAACTATCTACAATTCTAACAGGCGTCTACATATCTGACCAGCTCTAACGTTCTCCCTTAGCTGGCCGTTACCTACCCGAATATCATGAGGCCAAAGGAAACAGAGATTTCTTCGAGTGCTGCCGCTCGCCAGAAGTTGCATCAACATTGACCCTGCAGCCCATTGAGCGCTATGCAGGGCTCATCGATGCCGCCATCATCTTCTCTGATATCCTCGTCATTCCCCAAGCAATGGGCATGGAAGTCGAGATGATTGATAAGAAGGGTCCCTCATTCCCATCTCCGCTACGGACACCTGAGGACGAGCAGTACACACAGGTCCTGAGCCGAACGGTTGACGTAACGAAGGAATTGGACTACGTTTATAAAGCTATTACTCTTACAAGGCAGAAGCTAGAAGGCCGGGTACCCCTTATCGGATTCACCGGTGCCCCATGGACGCTGTTATGCTACATGGTTGAAGGAGGCGGAAGCAAGATGTTTGCAGCCATCAAGACATGGATATACAAGTACCCCGACGCGTCGAAGAATCTGCTGCAGAAGATCTCGGAAGTGTGTGTTGAGCATCTCGCGCAGCAGGTCAAGGCTGGAGCTCAAATGATTCAAGTATTTGACTCGTGGGCTGGAGAACTTAGTCCACGGTCCTTTGCTGAGTTTTCGCTCCCATACCTACGATTTGTCTCCGCCAATCTGCCCAAAAGGCTGCAAGAGATGGGCCTGGAAGCTGTACCCATGACTGTTTTTGCAAAGGGAGCTTGGTATGCGTTGGACGAACTATGTGAGTCTGGATATAATGTCGTGGGACTGGATTGGCAGCATGATGCCGCCAAGGCACGAGCGGTTGCGAATGGAAGAGTGGTTCTTCAGGGCAACGCGGACCCGGGATGCCTGTATGGTGCAAGGGAAGGAATAACGGCTGTCGTAGAGGAGATGGTGAAGGGTTTCGGAGGCGGGAAGCAGGGTTGGATTGCCAATCTGGGACACGGTATGTACTGCGTATATCCATCCGCCCTCTCCTTTCCGCCCTGACTAGTACTAATGGTTACCTACAGGAGTCACACCCTTTGTCAAGCCGGATGATTTGAAATTCTACTTTGAGGAGATACATCGACTAACCGCTGCTTAAGCGATTAAATATTAAGTAAGGCGTTATCAGTTTGTATACATACCATGGCCTGTCTAAAATAAATACGAACTCCACGAGCCTCCAACCATATGATATGGCCCAGCTTCTCCCTCTAGACTGCACGCACTTCAGGGGGAGTTATCCACCCACCAAAACACGTCCCTACTGTAGACTCTTGCCTCGGTGTATACACAGATTCTGCCAAACCCCCTCCCCCTTCCCATTCGGGAAAACGCCAAGCCTATTTTATCTTACTTAAGCGCGCGTGACTTTCGCTTCGTTTTCTTCTTTTTTTGGCAATTTGAACCTCACTTTGTTTTCTTCTTCTTTTCTTCATCTCTGTCGTCCTCTGAATCTCTTTCAAGCCTCAATTCGCGGCGGCTTTCAAGTGCTGCTTCTGCCTGGTCGCTTTCGGCGCTGCTGAGTCAGGTCGTGGAAGGGCAGAGAAAGCGCTGGAGAGCCGTGGAAGCCTCCAGAACCGCAACGCCACATGCCTAGCAGGGGCGTTGGGTATGGTACGGTAAGCTACTTGATCATCATATTTCGGCGCACTCCCTCCTCTTCTCCTGACATTGCTAACAAGAATATAGCTGCGAAACCCGCACTCACGGGAGAGACAGCTTCGACGAGCCTATCCTGAAAGAAAGCGCTCCTTCATCCCTTGTATTTCCTGAGATATTCTTTGCTGCAGTCTCTTCCAATCTTGAAAAAAGTACTGTGGCTGAACTGGTAGTTACCAACGGAACACTTGACCCACCGCGGGCCTCGCATCCTCTCTGACTTTTTTTTTTTCCCCTGCCGACGTTCATCAGCTTCAGCGTCGGCGTCAATAAATCCATCGGTTTAATATACCTTCCACCCTCACCCGTCCCTTTTTTTTCGACCCTTCAACTCCTGGGTTTTTTCTATTCGGAGTCACCATACAACCTCCTTGCTGGTCTAGCTGTCTCGCTTCATCACAACTCCCATCGTCAGACCCCCTAGAGAAGCAACAGCCTCGCTCCTAGCCTACCGCGTAGGAATTCGACTACCCCTCTCAATCCACATATTTATTACCTTCTCCGTCTTTCTCCATCTCAGTAGACTCTTCAGCGAGTCAATATGGTGAAAGAAACCAAATACTATGACACCCTGGGGGTATGCCACCATACGTCAACAATAATCTTTACTCAAGAACAGCAAAACTGACCTCTCTAGGTTGCTCCAACAGCGACAGAAGCAGAGCTCAAGACCGCCTACAAGAAAGGCGCCTTGAAGCATCACCCAGGTATGTATCTATCCTCTTTTGCCGGGCTTATGTTTGCGCTAACAGACTTGGTTAGATAAAAATGCGCACAACCCTGATGCTGCGGAAAAGTTCAAGGATCTCTCCCACGCCTATGAAATCCTTTCAGATCCCCAAAAACGTGCCCTCTATGACCAGTACGGTGAAGAAGGCCTTGAACAAGGAGGAGGTGGCGGTGGCATGAATGCTGAAGACCTCTTTGCCCAATTCTTCGGCGGCGGCGGCGGGGCTTTCGGCGGTATGTTTGGCGGTGGAATGCGTGAAACTGGACCCAAGAAGGCGCGCACAATTCACCATGTGCATAAAGTTAGCCTCGAAGACATCTACCGCGGAAAAGTCAGCAAACTCGCTCTTCAGAAGTCCGCTATCTGCTCCCAGTGTGATGGACGCGGTGGTAAGGAGGGTGCCGTCAAGACTTGCGGACCCTGCAACGGAACCGGTATGCGCACCATGATGCGCCAGATGGGCCCTATGATCCAGCGCTTCCAAACTGTTTGCCAGGAGTGTGGTGGTGAAGGTGAAACTATCCGGGACCGCGACCGCTGCAAGCGCTGCCTCGGAAAGAAAACTGTCCTCGAGCGAAAGGTTCTACATGTACACGTTGACAGAGGTGTCAAGACCGGCCACAAGATCGACTTCCGTGGAGAGGGTGACCAGATGCCAGATGCCTTGCCCGGAGATGTTCAATTTGAAATCGAACAGAAGCCACACCCCCGATTCCAGCGCAAGGATGATGACTTGTTCTACCAGGCTAATATTGACCTTCTCACTGCACTGGCTGGTGGTACTATTAACATTGAACATCTTGATGAACGATGGCTCAGTGTGACCATTGCTCCAGGCGAACCAATTACACCAGGTATGTCCTGTTCCTATTATAATATGTTCCTTCCTACCATCTAATACTAACCTGTCTTGTTCCCGTCAACAGGTCAAATCAAAGTGATTCCAGGCCAAGGAATGCCGTCCTACCGCCATCATGACTTCGGAAACCTCTATATCCAATTTAACGTCCAGTTCCCAGAGAAGGACCAGCTACAGAATCTCGAGCTACTTGAGAAAGTTCTACCACCACGTTTGACCCAGGAAATGCCACCACCAGACAGCATGGTAGAAGACTTTGTCTTGGAGAATGTCGACAGCAACGGCGGCCAGGCCAGGGCCCAAGGAGCGGCCAGAGGAGACGACGACGAAGACGACGGCATACCGCCTGGTGCGGAGAGAATGCAGTGCGCATCCCAGTAAGCCGAACGAATGAAATTCTAGGCGATGCCCATGCTTGGTGGTGTCATGAGGCGTGATGGTGAAGTGTGCGGTGATGCGTTGAATGATAACGAACTGAGAAACAAAAAAAGAGATATCAAATGTGGTCGGTGGTCGGGAAACTTATAATTTCATGCATTCGATCGGCGAATTATTATTTTTTACTTCCTATTTCTCTCCCTGTTCTATGTTTCTTGCGACGACTTCCCTGATCCATTTTCTATTTCGTTGCTTTCACGCCCTCATCGAAGTCTAATTCAACCCCTTTTGCTTTGTGCTTTTATTATTCTTGTTCTGTTTGTGTGCTCGAAATAGAACGAATCCATTTTTACATGATTTTTACTACTGATCCTGTCTTTCGTCTGCCGTCTGTCGCCAGTGCTCTTGTGTCTAAGTACAGTGTAGTAGACTACTTATCTACAGTTTGTAGCAGGGAGAAGATAGAGGAATAGACGGTATGTTATGCCCAGTTAGAACAGCACATATGTGTTGCCGTCTACTTGGTTGCTCGATTGGCATAATATCGTTTAAGTGCGTATTCTATACATATAATCCTTTGGTAATTCTTCCGCGACCTCAAATCTAACACACCGATATAATTCATTCCAGCGTATGGTCCTAGCATATGGTTCATTATAGAAAAGACTCTAGTGAACTACCTATGTTAATGTTTGTCCCTTACAGGAATGGTAATGAACGCTAGACAGCCTAGGATAGAGATGCGTGTTAACACGCAATCTAAGCTGGAGAAGAATCACCCTGTCTGGTTGACATGAGTACAATAGAACAGAAAGCTATTGTTACCGACTGCTTGGGAAGGAATACGCCTCCTAGATCTTAACGTTTCGAGCAGGGACACCGATAGGTTTGGTGCCCAAGACCTATATCTACCCTTGGCCAAAAAGCAGCATAGGGGAACGCCTTAGTGAGGAGCAGGCGTTTGATATTCCTATCCCCCGGTGGGATTTGAAAGGAATGAGATTAGAAATACCGAGTGGCAGATGAAGGGAACAAGTTTCCGATGATAGTCCTGATACATAAACAACCACGGAAGCTGGCTGAACCAGCGTCGATGGAATAGGGTATTGATGAACGTCCAAGCATATATCTCATCTCAACTATGAGCTCATACACCCCTGGTTGTTGGATAGGTCATCTCAAAGGTGTAAATTGAACGGAGAGTTTCTCACCGGTCGATCAGGTCAGCGAATGCTCTGAACACGAATCACGGATCCATAGGCCCTGCTCGTCTACCTGCTTCCGGTCAAATGTTGATGCTTTTCCTCACCAAGACTACCTACTCGTGCTAAGATTGGAAAATGATCAGGACACTCCGTCGAGATCACAACTACACACCGACAGCCTTACTGAGTGCGTATTCTTTCGCAAGGCGCATGTCACTACGTCTGAGAGGAGGACATGGCTGCGAGTCTCGTGGAGATTCTCGTGGAGGTTGTGGCGGACGTTGAGTTTGCAAAATTCGCTAATTGCGGTAGTGATAGCTACACCCAAGCGGGAACATCTCCGGAAAACAACATATATACTTGTGGGGTAAGGGGGTAAAGTAGACAGAACATTATTATATTATTGTAATAATAAGCCCGCCTAACTTCATGCTCGTGTTTCGCTTCTTAGCTTCCGGATGTCCGCTACCATGGGCAAGTTGGGTCATTCAGAATAACGGCACCTGCAATATATACTCCTAGTGCGTTCACGTCATTTTGGGCCTATGGGAACGAGAGACCGGGTTTTTCTCATGCACGTTGCTTGATCGTCATTCAAAAGGTTATGGGGGTATCTTAACCCGTGGGATATTTGGGTGACAAGGACTGTAGAGTTCATCGATATGTGCCTGTGTCCTGCCCAGGTGGTAGTGCCTATGTTGTCGTGAGCGGGCGGGTCGTCTTGTCAAGACAAAGAAGCAACGAAAACAATCAAAACAAACTCAGGGCCAAGGAACATATGGCGGCACAGAGATGCCTAAGTCAATATCAGGGTTTAGGCCAAAGGTCGGGCGGCATTCTAAACATGGATGTCTAATTCGTGGGGTATGAGGCAGGGGATGATCCCAAGACGCTGCCAGTCCGTTTCTCGTCCTCATGCTATGCGACATCATCAGAAAAAACAGCAGGCGGGAAAATATCCTACCACCATGACGATCGCCAAATATGTGCACCTCATCGAGTAAAGAGCTGTTGGTGCTTGCGTTGGTATTCGAGCTCTGGGACTGTTTATCACGCGGGCGAGGCCGATCAAATATAATTTTGGGATGCGCCAGGCTGTCCACAAAACTCTTCGGAGATGGATGGGTTGCTGCGGCCAATAGGAAGCACGGCACCTTCTTTCCCCCAGTCTCTACGCTAAACGCTGAACTGGTTTATATACATCGACTGCAGGTGCAGATAAAACAGGGCAGGAGACGAGGTTAGTTCCACTGGTTTTACAGAGTGCTCCGTAGTTGGTGGTGAATATCCAGACGGCAGAACACTCCTGGCACCTAGAGAAAGACAAGCTCATCCAAGTAAGCGATAGCTGGCGGCCTCCCGGTGGCTTGCTTCGACAAGACAAGCCCGACTCCTCCACCGACATTTCTAAGAGGACCTCAAGTCAGTTGTCCTCTGGGAAAAGAATAGCCAAGGTCGCTTATCGAGGCCAAGAGGAAGCTTCTCCAAACAAGATACATTGGCTGCATGCGGTATGAGCCTATTGCACAAGTCCCAAAAGAGAGTTGAAAGGGGAAAGTGACAGTTCTTGTGCCAAGGGGATGGGAAGTCGTTTCTTCTTCGCGAGCAACTTTCGAGCTTCCAAGCTGTGTATCTTCCGTGTGGCCCTTTGAGCAGCAATCCCACAAGCTACATAGCAGTCAAAAAGCAACTGTGCGACTTTTCTTCTTTCCCCAGAGAAAATGAATGCAGCAATTCCATCCAGCACGTGAATTCTGCATAACAACGCAAGCTGATGCGACTCTTTGATAGGCGGATAGTTTTCCCCGAGGGAATCACTAAATATAGGCCGTATTATTGAAATAGAGTCGGCTCAGCAAAATGAATCCTCTCTGTCCAAGAGATGTTGCACATCTCCTCCAAAACCAAGATTGGGTTTAGTGGAAAAAGCAAGGTGAGCCTGCTGGAGACGAGATGACCAATTGAAGGAATCACAGGAAGTAAGGATGTTGAGAAGTACAGTGTTCCGATATGGCGGCGTCACCCTCGCCCTCGGAGGGCCTGCGAGATATCTTACTCTCAGGAGGTAACTGACTGGGCCGTGTGACATCCCTCTCGATATCTGCTTGAGGGGCATCAAACGTATATATAAATATTCCTGACAGAGGTACAACTGTAATCAGAAGGGCGATGCAATCGTTGCTAGCAGGGAGTCAGCCGCACCCCCCTGTCTGAAGGAACGAGAGCTCATTACGTACGTGTTTTCCATATCTCAGCGCAGCGGCCTGGTAAATACTCTCGTAACTATTCCCGTACCTAAACAGTACCGGCAGAGCAATAGAGTTTTCGGCAGATTTAGGTTTGCCCGTGGCAGTTGCTTGGGCTTCCATAGCGAGCCGGCGATCATATCGTGGACGATGGAAGTTGTGTTAACTCCGGGAGAGAGCAAGCAGGGCTTGGGGAAGATGACGAACGGAGGACGCAAAATACCCCGAGGAGCAGGAGTTCCGAAGCCACCCTGGAGATAGTCGATGTTGCTCTTTCCGGGCAGCCCGCCACTAAACAGCACAGAGGACATGGCGGTCGGTGGCTTTGCTGTCGTACTAAGTAAATCTGCCTGGAATGGGTCATGGTAGGCATGGACGGGTGGCATTGTTTATCAAAATACGATAGGCCCGACCTCTGCGGGCGTTGGAAGACCGCAAGGAGATCGACTGCTCGGGCGAAGCGCAAATCGTCCAAACACACAATAAACAAATATGCTGCACAATGAATATCAATTCGTCGATATTTTTGTGAAAGAGCAAGGCACATAGCGGCGCCCCCTTTTCTTCCGTGATCTGTTCACATTGACATTGCAGATATGGCCTCAACATGAGCCAGCATATTGCATTGACCTTCTTTTTACATGCAAGCGCACAAGTACGTCCAGCACAACATCCTTCTTGAAAAAGGACTTCTAACGTCCAATCTTCGAGGAGACAGCCGAAAGAAGAAAAAGTAAATAATGCAAAAATGTGTAATACGAGGACCAGATCGATGCTTTTGACGCCTCGTTTTCGGAAAATTCACGAGTAAATATTTTGCACTTCGAGCGAACACTTCATGACGACTGTCGCCAGGAATCGTTTTTTTTTTTTCACAAACTTGGGGGCCACTGTATGCAGTGTTTCATTGAGTAAAGGCGCTCGGTGGATGAATGATAGCCTATTAAACCATTTAGCGAGGAATCAGCAGACGAATCAGCGTAGCTGCCTAAACGGTTAGTAAACTGCACGGGGACGAGAAGTTCATCTGTGATGGGGGGCGCAAGGCGAAATGCAGAATGCAGGATAATTGTTTGCTCAATAAGACAGAAAACAATCATAAACGTGATGTTGGTGAGATATGAGATATGAGATATTCAGGGGGTAGGGAAAAAGCATGCCATATTAGGCTGAGACAACAGATTGCAGCCCTCAGTGCAACATTCATCGCGCATACAAGCAGGTCATTCTTTTTCAAGAAGCTAGACACGCCTGGTGTGATGCGAGGATACATTCTCCGTATGATGACTTGCTTTACAGTCAAGCACAGTGCAGGAGGATGAACGAACAGGATGTGTTCGCATCCGCTTCCTCCCGTCGCATCCAGTTGTCCGTCCAGGCCTCGGTCTCAGCCCATGTATCCTAGAATAGTATCTCCGTGTTCCAGGCATATCAGGGCATCGGGCCTGATATACTTAAGTAATAATATCAGCGTTGCATGGGAGATATTATTAAGTTAGGCTAATACATATAGCTGGAAGAAGTCCACTCATGGGATCTGGTCCACCTGTGTCAGAAAGACATTTGCTTGGCCGGGCGCAGATCGTGCCTTGTCAGACTGGGTCTGCTTGCAACGGAGTATCCAGATTAGCAGAAAAAAAAGCAAAGAGAGCTTTCGGTGTGAAAAATTCTAGAACAAGTTATCATCGCACGTTGAGAGAGGGATGGACCAGATATTTGCTGGATATTATAGCTGCAAGGTCGAATAAAATTAGTCAATTTCCCTTTGATGTCGAATTATTGCATTGCAGCGGTGTTACCGCTACTAGGTGCCTTTTTCGGTTGTCTAGAACATTGCTTCGTACCACTTACTTCCCCCCCTTTTATCGTTGCTGCAATGTCGCTCCTATGGTCACGATTTAAGGTGTAAAGATAGATTTCGATTAGGGCTGGCTGGCCCAAACATAGACTATTTTTCTCGTGCAGAGTATTAAACTGGCGCCAGGGTTGCAAGACGTATTCGGGACGACCGTGGCCCGGATTATACGAGTGTTCGAACCATTCCCACCACAGCGTTTTACATCTCGTTTCAACCAACTCCTTGGTCCATTATTCATTATTATCTGCTGTTGAGTGATCACTGCCCCAGTTCACTGTTCCGGAACATTTATCGATAGCTTCTTTCTGTATTATAGTCGGGCGAGTTCGATTGCTGCATGTCAGTGACGCAGGATTGCTCTGAATCACAGCGTTGTTATCCGAATGAGCCTATTCTGACTCCATGCGGTCAGGGTAGTTTCTGTCTTCTGTGAAACTGTCGAGCAGGCACCAGCAGATATTTATGCAGTGGCAACCTGATATAGGGGTTCACCATGCCCTTTACCACCTTGTCCTGTGTCCCCGCCCCCTCTATGGTACGTACACTCTTTATATAGATTTCGGGCTTGGTACTCCATACTTGGGGATCACTTTCTTAGGAATCCGGAGGACGCCTCAAGACTCTGCGAGTGGCAAGCCAGGGTTTGGTTTAGCAGTCAAGACTGGGATTGTATATCTCCCTTAGCGATGTCGCATGGCGATACGAAGAAATTTGGTGGGACCATGTGAATCACGATACAGCAGAAGTGTGCATCAACGCATCACTATAGAGTGCCGAGATGGCCATGGGTGCCTTTGATCCAAGAATTGATTCCAAGTCATGCTGTCGCCGCAGCTGTATTTCCCCGAGAGATGATATGGCAAGCAGCCTAGTTACTCCGTTCTATCCGATGACTCCTGGTGAAAAAGATGTGAAATGGGTCCCGATATCTGAATATCACCCAAGAAGAGGAAGAGATATCTTCTCTTGTTGAAGGGTTCTCCATGAGCCTACGTTCCAGAGAGGCATTTGAAGGGCTGATGATGTGGAGAAATGGAGGGTGAGATTCACGTTACGCTGATGAGAGAGCGATGAACCGATGATGAACCATGATCGAACCAGAACTTCTTCTAGGACGCTGGCCAAAAAGATGGTTTCTCTGAACTCCCCCAAGACAACCCGGTTATACCGTTCTCAGTACTCCATAGGCGGCCACTATCGGACGGCCTTGAGTGCAACACTGTTGCGCAGTGCATCAATATTCGGGCCTGAATGCTGTATTTCCTTGTTGTACAATAAGGAATTCAAGCATTTTATGCTTTCAATCAATCCTGGGCGTCGATGATAACCGGTCAAGGGGCAAGGGGTGGACAATTCCATCTATCCAAAAAAATCTTGTCTTTGATCCCTGAGTGTTGCCAAGGTAGTTACTCGTGTTGAGTATTCTTTCGTGTTCTTTTGAGGCGAACGAGGGCGGTGTTGACAGCATGTCACTCTGTACAGATATGTCGGCAGTTGTTTCAAAACGGGAAGATACGATACGGCATTTGTGACAGAACCCCCCTTGTAGAAAATCCCTGTCTGCCATGGGCGAAAGAGTACCAAACGCTGGGGTAGGGGTTCGTGTTGTGGAGATCACGTTTCTTGTTCCTCTTATCTCGGCCATCAGCCGTGCAAAATACATGTTGGCTGAATAATTTTTGGATGGAATGGTTCCCTTTCAATAGTGAACGAACTGTCCGGGCCAGAGGATGAATAGTCAAGCTATGGTCAGTCAATGACCGTCGAGCTGATCAGACAGGGAATCCCGATCAGACAACTTTTCTTTAGTTAAGTAATGGCAACTCTGGCAATTAATTCCAGACAGCGCAGAACGCGGCCAGCCTGGTGACCGAGCAGGATGCCTACTGCCGGTTTTCCCTTTCTCCTGCCCAACATGCCAACTGCCAACTGCCAGCCCAGGCTTAGGTCTGCGCAGAATCGGTGAGGCACTCACTCCCTTTGACTGTGTAGCTTTAAGTAGCAGCTTCGTCGTGTGAGACTGTGGCGCTGCCGCCGCTTGATTCTCGATTGGTGTAGGTGTCAGTAGAGAGATGACAAGAATGTTGACACAGCAAGTTAAAGCACAAACGCCTCCTTTTTGGCGAGAAGGTGACCAGGGCAATAAAGCCAGGCTCTGCAGCCCACAACCTTCGTTTGCTCACTTCGCTGTCGTCTTTTCTTCTTCTTCTTCTTCTTCTTCCCTCTCTCTATCCTCGGTCTCCAAAGAATCCAGGTCACATGATAACCCGCTCGTTGATGCCGACTGCTGGCCGATGTGGCCGGATATACCGTGTAAAGTGCAACGTGATGGTGGTGTTTCGGTCCGCAAGGGAAGGGAAATGCTGGCGTGTCGTGAAACGGCCGGGTCGACCCTGATCTGCCTCTCCCTGGCCTTTCTCTTGCAACCTTTCTAACCGCTAGTACGGCAGCCAGACAGCTTAGTCCGTTAGCCTGGTTGCAAGACCCCTGCTTGCTCCAGGATTCTCCATATATGAGTTTTCTTGTCTGCATAAAGAAAAAAGCAATATAGGCCCCCGAGAGGGAAAAAATAGGAATACGGAGCGGTCCCCCCATAACCGCGCCAAGGACTCCTTTCTAAGCCCTGCAAATTCTTATCTCGAAGCCCCTGTTGAGATCTGCCCTGTCTGAGTTGTTGTTGTCTTGGAGTATCATTTCAGCCCATCCCATACACGAGGTTGCCACAAGGTTGCGAAACATCGCTATATTTGTTGAACCACACTGTAGCAGTAGGTTATCCGCATACTTTCTCCGGAGAGCTGAAAATTAGTCATGTGTGTCAGGAAATTCTCGACAAGTTGCTCTGAGCTGATCGAAGCCATTATTATATATCTGCTGTCCATGTATCCATCCATCCATCCAGACACCCCCGTTGCGACGTGACCAGCAAGAAGGTTAGCGACCTCACGCATCATCTGTACGATGTCGTAATAGCTGGCGGATGAGCTCGTACGGGGTCGGGGGGAGTGGCTGTCAAACCCCATCCCTCTCGCCTGAGATGTTTCTTTTCTTTTGCCCTTTCTTCTTTGGCATCTTGCTCTCTCCATTTCTGCAGACCGCCCATACCACTGGGAGGTCTGATCGTATAGTTATCCTCATCGTATTTAGTGGATCCTCCTTACCAGCATCACAAGTCTCTTCCCCTTGAAGAGGACTGACTGACTGGATCGGGGCCACGGGAGAGATTCGCCTCTCGGGCCCTGCTTGACTCAAAACAGGCCGTATATATACTTTGGATACACGGGGGTTGGAGAAGGAGGGAAAAGAGGCTCGCAGGTCCTGCCACACTTAGAACAGCAAAAGAAGCTTGTCGAATTCGGTATGATGCCATCCTCTGGCGCCTTGGGAGAGCTTGAGTTCATCCTATAAGCTGTGTTGACTTAACCTTCCTTGGCGTTCAACACTGGCTGATAATCTTCGTTTGAACAAGAGTCGACCAGAGGCTTGATATCGAGTAGCATTTCTTATCACTGCCTTGTGGGCGTCGATGAGACGAACTTCTCACTCGGCGCCTATATATCAAGCTCTTTTTAGGGAGAGCATCGAACGTTATGAAAATGCTTGGTTGCGATCAGCCTCCAGACTCTCCAGGCATCGATTTCTCACCCCCAGAACCGTTGGAAGAACAGGCAAACTTCCTTCGTGTTCAGACTTTGCTTTTTTGCTGCCTCTGCTTTCCATTTTTATTTTCTTCTTTCTTCAGCTTCACTACCCTGCGACTGCTCCGGCCCTTTTGGGTGATAGACTGTCTCCTTGTATCCATCCATCCTTGTAGCGGTTATGGCTGGAAATTAAGCTTGTTGCCAATCCCTCCGGCCTAGGACGGCATGTACGAGTAATAGATTTTTGCAGATGCTTAGTGACCCCCCTCCTCCACCTAGTCTCATTCTTCCTATTTTTGCAGTTTGATGGAAACAACAGGTGCAGCTGTGTGATCCACCATCCTGATGGCTGCGGCGACACTTTCTTCTCCCTGACGCCCTCGCCTGGAAGCCTTCGACCATGTTTCGCTGTACGGTCAAAGGCGGAAACTGTGGACTGTCTCCCTGGGTTTCCGTGGCCCATGGTTCTCCACTCCCTTGCACTGTCCTGTCTGGCCCGTTTCCCATTGATTGCGTGACTTCCCGCCAGTCGCAGGAGGGACATGCTCCGCCAGAAAAACCTCGTTCTTATCGATCTATAACTTAAATTCACCTCTCAGGTCGAAGGCCGTAGCAGGAAGTTCATAAATATGGTCCAGTCCTCCGCTGTTTCGATCCTCTTTTAGGCCCCCTCCCCCCTTCTTTCTCCTGTTCCATTCTCACACCTCTTCTTCTTCTCTTCCTTCATCAGTGAGCTGGTGGGTTGCAATCCTTCCAAAGGGATTCGACCAGAGAAACAGTGCCTGCCTTCCCCAGGGCCATTTTCAGTTGTTGGAATAGCATCTTGTATCAGACTGATAATGGGTACTCGCTAGACCTCTCGCCTTTCCAAGAAGATCCCGTTGATCATTGAGCCCGGTAGCTCTACCTCCTCACCTTTCACAAAATCAGAGCATTCAATATCGTCCTTGCATTGAGAAGTTCTCCTTCGGGCTTTAACCGCTTTGGCTCTTCCTATCCCCTCAAGACACCATTCCGGGGGAAACGAGGTAGCAGGATAATTAAACCTAGCTGCAGGCACAGCTTCTGTTTAGTATACCATCTTGTTTCACCGATCAATCGTTGCTTCACACAATGGCGTCTTCCGAGTCTCCCGAGTACCAGACGAAGATGCAGAAGTTGGGTGCCGGCCTCAAGAAGGTCCTTGGCCTCAAGGATGAATACCCTGTTCCCACAGACCCCGTGACCCGAGGAGAGTCGACCATCTCTGTGCAGTCAGCAGAGATGTACTTCGACCAGGACCCGACAACGATGGAGTACTTCCGCGAGCTCACCCCCAGCGGCGAGGATGTGGTCAGGTACCTGACCAGTCTGTTCCCGTTCCTTAACTGGATCAGCAGATATAACCTCCAATGGCTGGTCGGTGATCTTGTTGCCGGTAAGTACTCCAACAAGGACCATTATCAAAGTCTATGCATCACTAATAAACGACCATAGGCTTGACTGTCGGTGTCGTCGTCGTTCCTCAGGGTATGGCCTATGCCAAACTCGCTCAGCTTCCTGTCCAGTTTGGCCTGTACTCCTCCTTCATGGGCCCCTTGCTCTACTGGCTCTTTGCTACTTCCAAGGATATCGCTATTGGTGTATGTATATCCAGTCATGATATGTTATATAGCCGGAAACTGACGAATTGCATAGCCTGTTGCCGTTGTCTCGACCCTGGTTGGCCATATCATCGACAAGGCAAAGGTTGAACATCCCGATGTTCCCCCAGAGGTTGTGGCGTCGGCCATTGGTATTGTTGCTGGCGGTATCATTGCCTTTATTGGTTTGATCCGATGCGGCTGGATCGTTGACTTCATTCCACTCACGGCCATCTCTGCTTTCATGACTGGGTCCGCCCTTAGCATTGCTTCTGGCCAAGTACCATCTCTGCTCGGGCTCAGTGGCTTCAACACCCGAGGTACTACCTATGAAGTCATCATCGGTTCTCTCAAGCATTTGCCGAGTGCTAAGATCGACGCTGCTATGGGACTCACTGCCCTTTTTCTCCTTTACTTCATTCGATCGGGGTGCGCCTACATGGCTAAGCGTCATCCTTCTAAGGCGAAGGTCTACTTTTTTGCTTCTACGCTGCGCGCAGTCTTCGTCATCCTTCTCTACACCTTCGTCAGCTTCTTAGTTAACCGAAACCACCGAATGAAGCCAATTTTCAAGATCTTGGGCGTTGTTCCACGAGGTAAGTAGCAATTGGAACGGAGATGTTGAAAGCTATCATAAAACTAACATATCTGATAGGCTTCCAAAATGCTGGTGTCCCTGTCCTTAACTCACGCGTTCTGAGCACATTCTCTGGTGAAATCCCAGCTTCTGTCATTGTCTTGCTGCTTGAGCACATTGCCATCTCCAAGTCGTTCGGTCGAATTAATAACTACACCATTAACCCCTCCCAAGAACTCGTCGCCATTGGTGCCAGTAATATGCTTGGTCCATTCCTCGGAGGGTACCCGGCTACCGGTTCTTTCTCCCGTACTGCTATTGCCTCTAAGGCCGGAATTAGAACTCCATTTGGTGGTGTTTTCACTGCTATGGTTGTTCTCCTAGCTATTTATGCCCTTCCAGCTGTTTTCTTCTATATCCCTAACTCTTCACTCTCCGCCGTTATCATCCACGCTGTTGGCGATCTAATTACTCCTCCAAACGTTGTCTACCAGTTCTGGAAAGTCTCTCCGCTTGAGGTTATCGTCTTCCTTGTTGGTGTCTTCGTTTCTGTCTTCTCCACCATCGAGAACGGGATCTATGCTACCGTTGCTTTCTCCTTGGCTATTCTCCTGTTCCGCCTTGTTAAGGCGAAAGGTGAATTTCTTGGACGGGTCAAAGTCAACTCCGTCCTCGGCGACCATGTCCTGGATAATGACGGAAAGTATGGCACTTTTGATGACAACTCGGGCATCCCTGGAGGATCGAGCAGTCGCAACATCTTCCTTCCTCTCAGCCACCGCGATGGTTCTAACCCTGATGTTCAGGTTGAACATGCTCTGCCTGGTATCTTCATTTACAAGTTCTCTGAAGGATTCAACTACCCTAATTCCAACAGTTATCTTGATGATTTCGTCGCTCATATTTTGGCCAAGACTCGTCGCACTAACCAGAATGCATATGAGCGTATGGGTGACAGACCATGGAATAACCCTGGACCCAAGCGCGGCGAGACCGAGGCTTCGACTGCCGATCTGCCAACCCTCAAAGCTGTCATAATGGACTTCTCCTCTGTTAACAATGTCGATGTCACCTCCGTCCAGAACTTGGTTGATGTCAGAGAGCAGCTCGACCGACATGCCGCCCCAGATGTTGTCCAGTGGCACTTTGCCCATGTCAACAACAGATGGACTAGACGTGCTCTTGCTGCTGCTGGTTTCGGCTACCCCACCTCCCCTGTAGGGGCTGAGATCGCAGTTCCACGCTGGAAACCAGTTTTCAGCGTCGCCAGCATCGATGGATCAAACAGCTCCACCGGCTCACTAGAATTGGACCCCAAGCACTCCAGCAGGATCCATGACGAAGAGATTGGAACCATCACGCCAGCCTCACAAGCACCCACCGAACAGGTGGAGATATGCAAGGATGGCGTTTACCACAAGGAGATTGAGAAAGTTAGCGGCTCTCGAGGTGCTGTTGTGAACAGCATGAACCGCCCTATGTTCCACGTCGATCTAACCAGTGCTCTTCAAAGTGCTACTGCTAATGCCCTGCAATGACACCTATTTGCTGTATAAAAGTCGTCACACGAATACGTTGATAGAGTTTCGTGTTTGAACGACATTTCGTGTCCTGTTTCTGCTTCTTTTTGTCTATATTACATCTACTCTCTTGTCGCTTGGTGGGTTCTTTTCCCTCTGATTTTGGATTAGGTACTTTTTTTACTGTGTTTTATTTGTCTGGAAATACCTCTCAGCGATTACATGAGGATTTTGGAGTTAGCCTGGTGCCTTCGAGGACACTTAATTTAGCCTCGACTCCCCTACTTATATATAATGTGGGGCACAAAATATATATCTATTATATATTATACATACTTTGACTTCGTTTATCATTAATTCATTGATCTGTTGCTTATTGGGGAGTAATCACTTGGTTCTCGAGATCCCCTTGAGCAAAGGTGCTCTTTCTTCTCGCCTATCTCGTTTTCTTGTTGCCCTAAATGAGGCTCAGCTGCAGCCCCAATACGAGTGTCTTCCTTTTTTAGGCTAGCGAAGAAGCTTAAATCAACTTTGCCCCTGACACATGGTCCGAGCTTCCTGCTGGCTTCGCAGTCATTGCCAAAAGGAGTTAGCTTATTTTTGAATTAGTCAGCACGCTGTGCGTTTGCCTGGGCTGTGCAGATATTAAAGATATTAAACCCTTTACCGTTTTTAGTAGGAGTTGCGGCCACTCGGCGTTTCAACTTCTACAGCAAGCTTCTCTTGATATTATGTTTCAAGAGTAGAGGCAGCCAGCCAGCTGGCTTAAATAGCTCTCTTAGTTAGCTGTGGCAGTAATGTTTCTGCCTGAAGCCTCATTTTACCAACAAATTACCAACACGTTAATCCCAGTTGACTGTGCTATTGATTGCCTACTACCTAAGATGGCTCACCTTAGCAAGGCAAACCCGCCAGGCGACTATGTCTGCCTGGGATGGCTCACGGGTACAATATTGTTTACCCTGCAGATGAAGAGTACGGTTGTCACCCAAACGGTTGGTTGTGACCTGTCTGCGGTCGGTGGCTGTACACACAAGGATACTCGTATCCACCTGCGCACCAAGCTTTTTCGGACTTTTAAGAATTGATGGGGCTATATCTCGTTATGGAAATTGACTCGTATCGAGTCTGTCGGGCCATGATATATAGACCTATGCCTTTTCCTCTAGAATGCACCTTTCCTCTACCCACCACGATATCAACAAGATCATTCCCCAGTGCAATTCATATAGGATTGACCATAACTCCCCCTTTATCTCATTTCCCTTCAAAAACCGGTACACAAAATGCTTATATATAAAGCAATCAAGAAGCGCCGCGAGGAAAACCAGCCTGGATCTGAGCTAGCCGTCGATTCGGAGAAACAAAAGGAGAAGAAGCTGTGTTCGCATCTTCTGGGAAGCCAAAGCCAAACTTCAGCCTCACCATTATTATTAAACAAACCAAAGCAGACTTACATTCGCCCGGATGCCGGGTCTCTTGAACCCCAGCAGGCAGAAGCCTTACTCGAGTTAGCCGATTTAAACCAGCGATCTCAAATACAGGCGTCGGGGCCATGTGAGTTGTGTAAAAAGGAGAAACATGACGCCCGTGTTTACCGATGGAAGTTGATTGCGGGCTTACTGCTGCCGTACTTCCTAGCATCCGTGGACTTGACCATTGTCGCTGCAGCATTACCTTTTATTGCATCTCACTTTAGTATGACCCTATTTCAGCTTCCCTGATATTTCAGCAGCTTCTTCTAACCTCATATAGACAAGTTAGATCAACTCAACTGGATCGTAACGGCTTTTACCCTTACTTCAACGGCGTTCATTCCTGCCTTTGGCCAACTATCCGATGTCTTTGGCCGCCATTTCGTTCTACAGCTAGCAATGTTTCTTATGCTCATCGGCAGCGTTTTATGCGCTGTTGCTCCGTCGTGGGGTGTCCTCTTGCTAGGTAGGGCATTGCAAGGAACAAGCGCGTCGGGTATCACAAATTTGATTCAGATAATATTGGCCGATAAAGTCAGTCTGAAAGACAACGCAAAGAACAGTACCATCTTCCAGTTCGTTGCTGGAATTTCCTACAGTGTTGGGCCTATTATCGGCGGGTGAGTTTATCTCCTGGATTTTGTGCCCTTAATATTGTTGATATTGTTGAAGCTAATAATTGAATAGATATCTAACAAATGTAAGGAGATTTTTGATCATCTGAGGGTATTTGCTTGCTGATCACGGAATTACCAGTCTAACTGGAGATACTGTTTTGTTTTGACTATACCAGTGAGTTCTCCAGCCCAGTTTCGGGGGAGTATGAACTAAAATGCCTACCAAGGTTGCATTTTTTGCACATTTCATTATATACTTTCTGCTTCGCAATGAGTTGGTACAAGGAACCCATTTCACCAAAGGATCTCGACGCAGCAGCTTCATACCTGGCCTCGCTACTATTGATATTGGCGGCACTTTTTTATTCGTCTTCGGTGTTGGCCTGCTTATTCTTGGTACTGCTTGGGGTGGTGTTACATACCCATGGACCCATGCAGCCGTCCTTACTCCGCTGGTTATCGGGTCGATTCTTTTTGTTTTCTTTTTTGTCTATGAATACCTACTTGAACCCGGACGCGTTTTTGGCCGTTTACTTCCTCAACAGTCACCTATGATACCCTCGGATATCATCAAGAATAGGGATACTATTGTCTTGGCCATTATTGAATTTGCAACTGGTGCTGGTAAGTCCACTAGTCGAAACTTTAGATTCCCTAACATATCTGATGCTAATATTGCAAACCCCTAAAGCCATGTTTTCTGTTTTCTACTTCATCTCTATCTACTTTACTCTTGTTGAGGGTTATGAAGCTGGGCGCTCTGGCCTCCAGTTACTCTACTATATCCCGGGTATTGGATGTAAGTTATACTGCATAACAGATCTACTTGTATAAAAAAACTGCAACTAACTCTGAGTAATAGTTGGCGCTTACTTTGCCATGTTCACCTGCAATGTCTGGCCAGCACAAACATTCGTTCCTCTAAGTGCGGGCACTATAATCGAAACTGTTGGAATCGCCCTCCTGACCTGGGCAACCACAACTCGAAACATTCCTGTCGTCAGCGGAATGATGGCTGTTGCTGGTGCTGGAACAGGCATGCGATTTATGCCAGCCACACTACATGTGGCTGGAATTTGGCCCGATAAGATTGCCCCTGCCATGTCCATCATGAGGTTCAGCCTGCCTTTCGGCGGAACACTTGCTTTGACCATTATGGGCAGTGTGTTTAACAACAAGATGGCCGAGGTCTTCCGACATGGCAGTAGTAAGGAAGGCCTGGACCTACATAATACCGGTCAAAGCCTGGAAGCAATTAACAAATTGCCCCCGGATATCCAAAACTATGTGCGCAATCTGGCGAAGAATGCTGTGTTGTGGGCATTTATCTCTATTATTCCTATTATGGCGATCAGTCTAGTGGCCGTATTCTTCCTTGGAAATGTCTGGATTAAGTCTAAAAAGGCTAAGGAGGAAGCCGAGAGGAAAGCCGCGGAGGATGGAAAGATTGGGGAGGCTATTGTTAGCAGCGAGGTTATCCAGATCCCCTTCCTGTGGGCTCTTATTACAGTAAGCATCTAACCATGGCCCTTTTCACCTTTTGGGCTTTCATTTCTGACATATTACTACTAGGGCACCGTTGAAGTCAACAAATATATCAGCACGCCCCTTTCAAAGGCGGAGAAAGAGAAACAAGCCCATGCTGTGCTTGAGGAGAAAAACAGACTTCGAGCCTTCAAGAAGCACAAAACAGTTAATGCGGATGTCTAGGGTTGGATCCTTCACGATACGGTCACTTGGGCCGCTCGCTCATACTCCAGGCCAGCAGCCCAATCGAGGTACAGCTATGTAGATACAGAGTAGATGTCCGCTATGTACAGTACACTTTCCGGGCAAAGGATGAACTCGTCTTCCCAGCTTGTGTTTTCTCAAAGGATTTATGTATATCCCGCGACTCGCCAACAGGTACAAGAGTTTATTACCCTTAGGGTCAGATATCCAACAAAAAGAAGAAGAATATGCAGTCCGTTTGCACTGCTGATTAGGGGTGTGCCATGGAACCTTGGCCCATTGGTAACAAGTGGCCGATCCATGGATGCCCATGTTATTTTCTCGAGTAATACCCTATGGCTGGATAGGGAGGCTACCAGGAGGGCTAAATTAGAAAGCAACAAAGCTCAAGGCACCCCTGACTAGTTACCTAGGTATATAATAAGGTGGCCAGCTGCTTTCGGGTCGTTGAGCATGTCGTGCCCTGCCAACATATAAGGGAATACCCCCATGCGACAGCTGCCAGTCAAGAAGAAACGCTTAGCTTAACTCTCAAGCAGTATTTAACACTGGATAACCCAGGCCCGCAATAGGGTGATGTCACCATAATAGGTGCCCATGCCAACAGCTTTCCAAAACTACTTTGAAGGAGCTCCTTGTAAATTCGTCGGGTATATCTAACTATTATTTGCTTATCAGGAGCTACATAAACCCCTCTGGGAGGAGATATATGCACGTTCAAAACAGGCTGGTTTCCGAATCCAGGGTGTATGGATTGCAGATACTGCCCATCAAGGCTAAAGTAGTGTACTCAACTAGAGCTCACTAGGCAATGGGTTCTCCCGTCAGAGGAAGATCAGGTGTCGTTTTAAGGTTTAGTAGCCGCCGCAAAGCTTAGTTAACGAACTAACTAACTAGTTGGTTAGTTGATCCGAAAGTTAGGGCTGCAAGGATGACCTCATCATGTGAATGCCACCAGCTGGTGGTCGGTCCGTGGTTGGGTTTTAGAGTGTTTTGCATCTTCCACGCACAAAGTATATGACGATACCCTGTAGAATTTCATCCCAAAGCTACGTACAATAAAAGGACAAACTGCATCTCTTCCTCTCCTCACATCTCAAAATATTTTTCATATAATCTTCAAGCTTTCGTCTTAGACATAAAGTCTTGAACGCCCAAAAATGGCAATTGGAGACTTGTTACAATTTTCCAGCAACCACGTTCTTGCTGGTGGCTGCTTTATACTTGTCATTATGATATTATCAACTATTGGCCCGAATTTCGAACAACTATTTGACCATATGAAGATATATTGGATATCTAATACAATTCAGGAGATAAAGATAGCTTTCCTATCCAGGGAGGAAGATCGGAGAGCAATAAATTGGCTTAATGAGCGGGCACTTTTAGCCCTAAGACTCCATCATTGGAGACAACGGCAAATATTTATCTGAGGAATAATAATTGAATATACCACGCAAGGGAAACTAGACAAAATTCGTGATCTGGATAAGTATAGCCTAAGAGACTAGCGACTTATATTAATGAAGGAAGTCAAGCTTGGGCTCTTACAAATATGTGGTATGATCTTCATCAACGCAAACCTAGTGGCCCTAGGATAAGGCTAGATAAAGCTAGCTACTCCCGGAATTATAATACTCTCCGTAATAATCCGATAAAATACCTTTCATAGCAACATCTGGTGGAGGCATGCAAGATACGAGGTGGTTGTTGTACAAGGGTATGCTAGTGCTGCATGAAACCACGTGGCCAATATCCAGATAAAAGACTATACTACGCCCATTGCACGTTATACTGCGGATGTTGTATCCGCAGTCGAGGATTCGTAATACATAAAGAGGGCAAAGGTTTTAAAGGTGTCACCGGTTCTTCAGCTACGCCTTTCCCTATTGAGGGCGCTCGACGGTTCCAAGTGCTATACCTGAATGGAGCCCTAAAGAAGACGATACGAATGGAGAAGTAGGAGTTCACCTGGCGTTGGGCTTGGTTGTTCCCTTTAATTGTTGCAAATACTGAGGTGATGCCGGGGCAGTGGCCACCGGAGAGGCAAATCTTTCTGTGATGCTCCGGAGGGGCGCCCTAGAGAGAATCAGTTAGCATCGTCATAACAAGAAAGTTAACACTGTGTTGGGGCATGAAATACGGCTTGAATGGGAAAAGTAGGGTACTCATTGTGACTATAGCCGGGAAGTCCTAACCAGACAGACCTTTCCCATTTCTTTTTTATGTTATATTGTACCTAGAGAAATCCAGAAATCAGCATAGCAACAGCCATTGGAAAGGGCATCAGGGCCTTGCGGCCTATTCCATCACAACTAGGGTTCATACTATACTATACGAATGATAATGTTGTCTCACTGCCCGTATGTATAATCTATCAGAAAATACACTGCGTTGAGACTTGCACTTTATCTGATTCTGAGCTGATAACCCCCCTATACACGTGTGGTAATAATAAGAAACCCGTCATACTAGTAATATATACCTAGTATGGATATATCGAGTTTGCCAACGGCTCTTCCAGTCCGCTATTCATCTAGTAATATCTGGATATCAATGTCTAATAGTTAGCTAAGTAGCTGGACGAAAGCCCTTGCAGTAGAGCCCCTGGCTAGCGGCATAGCACGCCCAGTGAAGAGTACCACTCCTATATCCGGCAGGCCTTAAGGGGGTATTCCCTCCCTCGCGGTAAGGGGTGCGAGGGCGGTGAGTGGCAGCAGAACCCGTGATGGCCAAACGCGTCTCCTTTAGGCAAAGAAGGCACACGCTGGATCTTCCTCTTCCTTTCTCCTTCGTCCTCAGCAGCAGCAGGAGCCACTACAACAAGGATGATAACAGCAGCAGCACCAACAACAGCAGTACCAGAGCCATGTTCTGCAATTGCACTGCTCCCGGGACGGACCCATCGGCGGCGTGGCCCGCGCTCTTTTCCCTCAGCTTCGAGGGGATTTTCCAGCTAGGGGCCGGTGGGATAATAGGCATCATTGCCATAACGGGAGTCCTACTCCTCTGTTGACATCTCTGGGTCGGAGCCCATGGCCAGCACCATGCAAGCCTTTGAGGAGGCCGATGCTGCTGAGGGCAAAACTCTACCCGACAACAACGTCGTAAGTAAAAGCAAATTCTATAAGAGTCAAAAATATGGGGTGCTAGTGGTTGATACTCTACCTTGTAGTGATACTTCTTTTTCTTCTTTTCCCTCCTTCCCTCCCTCCCTCCCTCTCCCTCCCTCTCTCTCTCCTTCTCTCCCTCCCTCTTTTTTTTTTTTTTTTTTTTTTTCCCCGTATTATATTATTTTTTATTTTTTATTTTATTTTATTTTTTTTTTATTAAGGAGCAAATAAATAATTTTTTGTCCAGAGAAATTTAAGAGAGAAGCAGCCACGCTCCTCTTCGCCCTTCCGGTAGGCTCCCTTCCAGTAGACCCCCTTCCCTGGCCAATATAATGCCGATATTATTTGTCTATCAATAACAGCGTAGATCCAAGGGCTCAGGAGGAGGAATGTGGGTTGATAGCAAGCAGGTAAATAGGGAGGATAGGTAGACAACGCTCCCAGGTAAGTTATCCCCTTCCGCTCACTGATTTAAGGGTATGTATTAAGGAGAGTAATAGCTGATATTCAAGAGGACAGATTAAGGCCATCCTTACGGGGAAATCCCCAGGCTAGCAAGGGTATACGCTAAGAGAAAACTAGCCTAGGTACTAGCTCTATCTTCGAGAACGGCTAAGGGTATATATAAATTGCTAGCGTTAATCGGGCGTATTCGGCCTACCCTTAAAGTAAATTCTTCAAACTATTGAGGGTATATGTTAAGGGGGATATATTAGTTGAATATAAAGCTTAGTACTTTTAGATAGTTAAAGATATATAGCAAGGGAGGTAATAAATATAAATCAAAGGGATATATTCACCCCTAATCTCAGGGGGTACGTTCGAACTACTTAGAGAATCATCTGCGCCATGGCCAAAGGCCAATAGCGTGTACTTGGCTGTCCTTACTGCGAGTGGTCCAGCTGAGGCCGTGGTAGGAAGTAGATAAAGACTCAATATTGGAATGTCGAAGGAGGAGAAAGTCGCGTTGTTCAAACGTGAACCATTAGTTATGTAGACATACACGTGATATCCAACCACGTGATACGACTAGGGCGGAAGTTGGGAAGACAAGGGACAGCCACATAATAGTAAGAGTAATAACGTCGGCGCGCCGTACAGTACCTGACTTGTTCTGGTTATATAGTTAAGCAATTGTTATTGATAGATCTTTAACTGATCACTTACTCTCCGTTGCTCTAAAAAAGGGATATTAACTGATTTGCCCAACAGGTTTGGGGTTTAGAATACATCGAAGGGCTCTATACTGCAGTTGTAGTTTGATTAATGCTTGCCGATTAACCCCTATTGAATCCTCATTAATATAGAGCATAGGAGGCTTTCATTGCCGCGCATGAGGCAGCTGCACAATGTGATTGTTTGGAAGGGTAGCAAGCCTTAGACATGTTCATGATAATTATTGGCACAGTTAACACCTTTACGATATTTGAGCAATAGCCAATCTGTTAGCTGTCTGGTATCACTCGGTGTGGCTGACACACCAAAGCGCTTGACGTCTCATCATTATCTGCTGTACCCGATATTATTAGAGCAAATAGCATACGGCCAACTTTTGTCTATCTCAAAATACCGCCCACACCAGCCCATCCAAGAACAAACCCGCTAATAGCCTCCGTAGCAACAAGTCCGCTGAACCAGAGATCCTTCCAGGCTCCCTTCCTCACATAGCCACCACCACTTGCGGGGACCAGTTCCCCATCGCCCGGAAAGTAGGCACCGACGCCGGAAATGCCTTTGTTCGTACTTTTCTCTGCTGTTCTGGGTGTGTTGTCTTTCACTAGAAGGGCGTTGGCAAGGAAGGAAACAAATATGGTGCCTAGCAGGTAGAATGTGAAGCCGTAAGCGGACTGGAGGCCGAGAATGCCGGCGGCGGTGCCTAGTAGGAAGGCTATGAGGGAATGTAGGTTTGCGAGTATCTAAGTCTGCTGTCAACACTCTTTGTTCTTGTTGGGGGATATGATGTATGGGCGGAAGATGGATGGAGGTAGCTACCCGGTTGTTATGAGTGACTGATTCTGGGACGAGGGGATTTATGAGTAGTGAAAGCTCCTGGCTTGTAGGCGGCATTATGGCGGTTATTTCTATTCTTTATTTTATCTTGTTTCGCTTGACTTGGTTTATACCAATGTCATCGTCAATTATTTGGTGGAGTTTGTCTGAGATCTCTTTCTTGCAATCGCCTACGCGCGAAATCGATTAGGCGATTACATAAGCAAAATGTGGTCCAATGTTGATAGACATGTGGAAGGAAAAGATCTATTCATTTTGGAAAAAAAAGTCATTATATCTCACGGCTTGGAGCTTTTCTCCTTTTTACTCTTCTTCTCCTTCTTCTCCTTTTTCTTTTTTGACGGTTGCGCCTCCACGGCCTCAGCCATGGTCACATCCTCGTCCTCATCAGCATCCAGATCAATATCCACAGCTGGCGCTTCCTGGAGCTCTCTAGATGTAGGATCATGGTAGTTATCACCACTCTTTGCCCTCCCGGCACCTGAAGCCTTACTCCTCTCTTCGGCAACAAGCTTATCCTCATCCTCCTTGCTTAACATTGTCCCCTCAAGGCTAAGAAAGCCCTTATCACGCTCACTGCCTGGTATAACGTCGACATCTCGAACACGAAACCGAATGGTTCCCCGAACCCTCTTACCGGAACGAGTTTGGAAATATCCCGTTTCCGCCGACGCCGCGTCTTCAAACTGCGAGGCCTCACTATTCGATGCCAAGGGCTTGAAATTCTCTTTATCTGAGTCTGGTTCATCATCGTCTTCATCTTCTTCGTCCTTGCTGCTCGATGTAGGTGATGCGCTGGTTGTGCTGGGTCTGTCTGACTGCTGGCCTGGGGCAATCCACTTCCAGTCCGCGGGCAATCGACGCCGTTCAATGCCAATGGAAAACAAGTTAAACACAATTGCACCCAGAAAGTCTTCAGATTGGACGTTGATCCAGCCCTCGAGGGTCTGGCCTCGTTCGGGCCGGAAGACGAGGAAGGTAAGTGTCAGATAGGTGTGTAGGACACCATACTCACCTGCTGTTTTAGCAAGGGTGAGCGGTTCCGGGTTGGGAGTGTGGGTTGATGTTGGAGTCGGCGTAGGCTTGGTGGCTGAGATGGAAGGGTTGGAGTAAGCGAGAACCACGCCGCGGACGGGAGGGTAGTAGGTCAGAAGTAGAGGGGAGATATGCTCTGCCAGCAAGGAAGACACGGCATGGGTGGGTGATATAGCGATGGGCGAGAGAGGGAGGTAGAGTGTTGTAGTCACACGGTGGAAAGAAGGGAGCTGGTCTGCGGTCGAGGAGAGGGAATGGGTATCTTTATCGTTCGACGAAGCCTTGGATAGCGGTTTTCGGGATGCTAGTTTGTCTCTCCCTTTTCCACCGTCCCCTACAGCTTGCTTCTCGCCCTTTTTCGGGTGTTTGTCCTTTTTCTTCTTTTTCTTCTTCTCGCCGTCGTCGACAACAACTGTCTCGCTCGCCTGCTCTTGTCTCTTTCGCTTCTTCGATTCACCTTTGTCTTTCCGCTTCTTCTCCGGCGACGCTATCGAGTCTATCTCCATCTCATCCATCGACATGTCGGCAGTCAATTGACAAGTATCTTTGTCGTCCTCTCACGCCGACCGTTGGGGAATTGAATTCTGAGCTGAAAAGGGAAAGGGGAAAAAAAAATTAAGAAAATAAGGTTCTTCGCTGGCGGCTAGCGCCAAGCCGGGAAGCGCCCATCTTAACGTTTAGCCGCCGAGTATCTAACAATTTGATGTGTCGTGGCATCAAGAGAGAAGAGCAGTGAAGCATTTCTTTCTTTCCCTTTATTTTCTTTGAGTCTTTTCTTTTTTCTTTTTTTTTTTTTTTTTATTTGAAAAATGGACTCTGTTTAATATTGTTTCTTCTTATGTTTCTGTGTTTTCTACAAGATGGACGCGGCGTCTAGAGTCTTGTCCTATGCTGGCTGGGCTTTCCTCCCAGGAGTAAGTCTCCCCCCCTCCTCTCGCGTTATACAGCCATTGACATTACGACCTGGTAATCTAACAATCTCATCAACCAGATAGCTACGTCGTTCCTGCAGAACCTTTACTACCGCATTACCATCAGTGCTGGCACACCACACCCTCAGCCTGGCTCAGCACGGCATGCCCGTCACCGCCGGCGCATCCATGTCGCGGTGATTAGCAGCTACCTGCTGTACACCATCTACGAAGAATACCACAGCCTCCGCGTGGCCCCAGACTTCTATCAAATACTAGGCGTACTGCCTACATCGGACGAGCGGACCATCAAATCACGCTTCCGCCGACTGGCTACTGTTTTCCATCCCGACAAGGCACGACAGAATGGTTTAGGCTCGGCTGCTGAGGATGGGTCGACGGTGGATGAGTTCTTTGTACTATTGAAGCTGGCTCAGGACACGCTGCTCGACCCGGTCAAGAGGTTTGCGTATGACCGGTTCGGGGCCGGGGTAGTGGTAAGGCCGGAAGGACCAAGTAAGACGCTGAGCACGGCCACCTACTTTTACGAAGGCCTTTATGCGCTTGCACCGCAGTACCTTGTTGGTTTTCTGCTGATGGTGCTGCTCAACACCTTCTGGTTCTCTGCTTGGGGTAGATACGTAAGTGTATTTTTTCTTTCTTTTTTTTTTTTTTAATCCTCTCCGCTTCTCTACTTGTCTGGTGGAAGTCCCCGGCTGACATGACTTCCTCAGTGGCGGTTCTATACGTTTTTTGCACTGCTGACACTGGAGCTGACACTGCTTACCCACCCGAATGCAACCTTCATGCCAGGTGCCTACCTGCCGGCTATGCTCAGCAATCTGCTAGGGCTGGATCGCTTCTATCTGCTGCCGTTCCAGATACTGTCTCTTGCGCGCACGGCGTCGATGTCCATGAACGTCTTCATCTCGCAGCTGGCGCCGCCCGAGGCTACGTTGCAGGCCAGCCGGAGCAAGGGGCGAGGAGGCGAAGGGCTGGGCGTACAGGCGCAGAAACAGCTGACGCAGGTCGTGCAGCTGGCCCAGGCACAAGACGCAGAGAGTGCCAAGCTGCTCGGCATGGACATGCTGCCCTTCCGGGGGGACGTAGACAGGGTAGGCCGGCTGCGGCGAGGCATGAAGGAGCGTCTACGCAGAGAGGAGGCCGGCCAGGCTCCCGAGGTGCAGCAGGCCATCTCCGCCGCCAAACAAAGGAGGCAACAGGGCCGGAACGAGCAGCAGTAGCATCAACGTCACCATCATGGAAGAGGAAGCAGAGTACTAGTATCGGAAGAAAGCATCGTCGAGGGAAAGCAAGAGCTGAATGCTGTCATCCAGTATTGTATAATACCTTATATAAGCATAGCGTCTATTTATCATCCCTTAGTCAAAATTACTAGTGCAGTAAATTTCCCGTCACTGCAATACCACTAGCCCCAAAAGCGGCCCTAGCGGTAATCCTTCGCGACCTTCCTGACTGCTGACTGGTCCACCTCCCTGACTAAGCCCTTGCCTTACCATACCTGACCAGCTCCATCCTCCTCGCCCTCGCCGCCGCCGCCGCCGCCTTCGCCGCCTTGCCTTCTTCCTGCTTACCTAAGCCCTCGCCTTTGTCGCCTGGCCCGCGCTCGCTTTTGCCCTTCCTTGCGACCCTTCAAGAACGACCCAAGCAAAAAAGACAAGTCGCCCGTCAGTCTCTCTCCTTAGTCGTGGTTAGTGAGACGGATGCGCGGACAAGGACAAGCGAAAAAACCAACCACCACCGGCCGGCCACCATGACACACTCAAAACCACCTTTCCCCGTTTCTTCTTCCCCGTCGCCCTCGCCCTCGCCCTCGCCCTTCCACCACCGTCACCTCCGTCATCCAGTCCATCTCACCTCGCTGCCTCCCACCGCTCGACTCTCTGCCCATCGCCAGCGCCGACGGGCTGCCCCTAACCTAATTACCTCGACTCCTTCTTCCGCTCCTCGCCGGAAGAGGGCCACCAGGGAGCCAAAAAAATAAATAAATAGGAGCCACGCCGGACCGGAAAACTCTGCCCAAACCTGCACGCTGCCTGTATAACACACCGCACACCACACCCACCGCAGAGCAATGGCCGGCTCAGACACCTCGTCGACCTCCTCGCAGCCAGCAGCCAGCTCTGCCAGCACCGCCAGCAGCACCGCCTCCAAGATGAACAGGATAGTCGTCCTCTCGCTGCCGCCAGCCCTCCTCAGCCGCTTCCCCAGAGGCAGCAGCGGCAATGCCAGCGAGGACAGCCAGGCCAACAAGGAGGACCAGTCCAGCTCGCCGTCGACGCCGCCGGCTGCTCCTCTCACCGATAACGCCTCAGACGGCGACGCTGCCTCGACCGCTGCCGGGCCTGCCCCTTCGACTCCCTCAGCTTCGGGCTCTGGCTCGGCTGCTGCCACCGCCAATGGGCCTACTTCAGCACCAGCCTCGGGGTCGGGGGCTGCAAAGGCAGGGACCAAGCGAGGTGCTCAGCCTCTGGGTCCAGACGGCCTCCCTAAACCACGAGGCAAGCCGGGCCCCAAGAAGAAACCAAGACTGTAAGTTGATAACTTGGACCTGTCCTTTTTCCCAATACACCCGAGAATAAAGAGAAGCCATGGCTAATAGCGATATAGGGAAGACGGAGAGACTCCTTCTCGTCCACCCCCTCCACCTCACCACCGCCTGGGGCCCAAGGCCAACCAGGGGGCCATCAACGCCTGCCTGCGTGCTCTGGACCGCTCAGGCAAGCCCTGTCGCAAGTGGGAGCGAAAGTCCTTTCAGCTCAAGTCCTTTACCGGTGTGATATGGCAGGTTCCTAGCTGGGGGGCTCCTCCTCGCCCCAAGCCAACGCCGGAGGAAGAAGAAGAGAAGCAGAAAGAAAAGCAAGCTACCAACGGAGAGAAGAAAGACAAGGAGAAAGACAAGAAGAGCGAGAAGAGTGCAAAGAGTGAGAAGAGTGAGAAGAGCACTGCTGATCCTACCGAAGCTGAGCCTGAAGCCGAGAGAGATGCTACGCCTGCCGGAAGCATGATGGATATCGACTCTCCTGCTCCTGTTGCCGTTGCTTCCTAGTCTTCCGCTTATCTCCCTCCTTTTTTGTTTTCGATTCTCCCATTCTCTTCTTCCCCCCCCCCCCCGCCCCCCCCTTTTTTTTTTTATTTTCCCCGGGGGGACATGGTATTTGTATAACGCCCTCTCCCGTCTGTTTGACCCCC